TGGAATTTTCCCCTGGAATCTTGGGATTAAATCCCAAATTTCCTGCCAAATATTTGGGAATAAAACCCTGGAATTTTCCCCTGGATCCTTGGGAATAACTGAGATTAGTCGGGAATAAACTGGGATTAGTCGGGAATAAACTGGGATTAGTCGGGAATAAACTGGGATTAGTCGGGAACTGGGATCATCCCAGCCCGGAAAAATTCATGGAATGAGAGTTCCGGGATCTCCCCCTCATTCCAAACCTCGGGAATCCCATCCCAAATCCCAGAAAATCCCGGGAATTCCCAATTCCAACCCCCCCCACCCCCCAAGCGATGGCGGAAGCGGCCGCGCTCTGACAGCCGGGCCCGGCTCTTCCTCCTCTTCCTCCTCCTCCTCCTCCTCCTTCCCAACATTCCCAAGATTCCCATTATTCCCAAAAATTCCCACCTGAAATAATAAACATCGCTCTTCCCGGCGCTCAAGCCGGACTTGCGAATCACCTCTTCCTTCTTCCAGCCGGGCGGCAGAGCGGGACAGTCCATCCTTCCCGGTTTTTCCATGTCGGGAAGGAGGTTATTCCCACTTTTTTCCCGGTTTTTTTCCCGGTTTTTATTCCCGGTTTTTATTGCCGGGGTCCCGGGCCGGGGCCCCCGCGGCGATGGCGCGCAGCCTCCCCCGGGCACCAGCGAGAGCGAGGCCTCCCGGAAGGGCAGAGCGGTGGAGGGGGAATCATAGAGAAGGAGGGAGCGGTGCCCCTTGGAGGACTAAAATGGCGCCCGCTGGACCATAGAGAGGGAAAAGATAGGACAGAGCGGTGCCCCTTGGAGGACTAAAATGATGATCATAGAGAGGGAAAAGAGAGGAGGGAGCGGTGCCGCCTTGGAGGACTAAAATGGCGGGCGCTGGAGGACCCGGAAATAAGGCAGAGAGGCCAAAGCGACCATAGAGAGGGAAGGGAGGGGGCGGAGCGGTGCCGGCGGGAGGAGCAAAATGGCGGACCCGGAAGTGGGGATCGCAGAGGGGAGACCCCAAAAGGGGACCCAAAAGGACCCCAAAGAATCCCAAAAATCCTTAATCCCAAAGAATCCCTGATTTTTTGGGTGATGATTATTCCCAGAATTCCTCGGGGAAAAGAAATCCCGACGTGCTTGGGATCAGCACAGTTGAATTCCTGAATTTTTGGGGGATGATTATTCCAAGGATTTCTTGGGAAAATTCAGGCTCCGGTCAGAAATTCAGGATTTTTCTCCCTCCTGAAGGGTGGAAAAGCTGGAAAACTGGGAATTTTGGGGGGAAATTTGTGGGGAATTTTTAGGAGAATTTTGGGGATTTTTTTGCAGAATTTTTTGGAATTTTTGGGGGGAATTTTTGGGGAATTTTTTCAGGAATTTTTAGGAATTTTTTTGGAAGTTTGGGGATTTTTTTTGGAATTTTTGGGGGGAATTTTGGGGATTTTTTTTTTAATCTTTGGGGGGATTTTGGGGACTTTTTTTGGAATTTTTGGGGAATTTTTGGAGAATTTTTTTGAGAATTTTTTGGAGAATTTTTGGGGAATTTTTTGGAGAATTTCTGAAATTTTGGGGGGGAATTTTTGGGGAATTTTTGGAGAATTTTTGGGAATTTTTTGATAATTTTTTGGAGAATTTTTGGGGGAATTTTGGGGGAATTTTTTTGGAATTTTTTGATAATTTTTTGGGAATTTTTTGGAGATTTTTGGACATTTGGGGGGAATTTTGGGGGGAATTTTAGGTCCCATTAAAGGGCTTCACTCTGGAATTTGGGTTCTCTTTTGGTCCCATTTTGGGGCTTCACTCTGGGATTTGGTTCCCTTTTGGTGCCGTTTTGGGGTCCCATTAAATGACTTTATTTTGGGGGTTTTATCCCGTTTTATTTTAATCCCCCCCCCCCTCCCTCGGGCTTTAGGACCGCGCGGCGCCTCCTCAATGCGCAGGAGCGGCTCAGGCCCCCCCCTCCCCTTTAAAAACCTCATTTCCGCCCCAAATCCCGGCCATATTCCCAACTTTTTTTACCGGGAAGGCTCCCGGGAATTTCGGGATTCATGGATGAAGAGGATGAAGAGCGGGATGAGGAGCTGGAAGAACCGGGAATGTCGCAAGGTGAGGGCGGCTGAGGCGCCAAAATGGCGGCGGCTCTGAGGGGGAAAATTGGCGGGAACTCCCTCAAGGGGATAAATCTCATTTTTATCCTGAATTTTACCCTAAATTTCCCAGGGTTTTTAGGGATTAATGTGCATAAAAAATAAAAATCACAAAATTCAGGGAATAATCTCATTTTTATCTATATTTTTATCCCGATTTTCCCGAGGCGGGGGGGGGATTGGCGGGAACTCCCTCAAGGGGA